GCGGGGCGCGCGGCTACCCCGCCGACCCCTTTTGCCCTGCCGCGCGGTCCCGGCTCGTGACTCGGGCGCGTGACCCCAGTGGCGTCTCGTCTGTGGCGAGAGAGCGGGGCCGGCCCAGACCCGGCTCTGACCTGACCCGCGAGGTGACCTTGGTCTTGTCCACCGTCGCCTCCCACCGCCCCCTGTCCAGCGGTCGAGCGCTTGAGGACCTAGCGCGGCCCCACAGGCCTCCCGGAGGCGGGGGTGGCACTGGGAGATGCCCCTTCACGTGAAGTGGCCGTTCCCGGCCGTGCCGCCGCTCACCTGGACCCTGGCCAGCAGCGTCGTCATGGGCCTGGTGGGCACCTACAGCTGCTTTTGGACCAGTGAGTGGGCCCGGAGCGGAGGCGCGGGGTGGGGGTGGGGGGTGACTCCACGCCCACCAGACTGGGGTTTGAGGCGCTGGCTGAGCCTAGCCAGCTGAACTTTGGGACCGCGGGAGCAGGATGCCAAGGCCCCGCTTTCTCTCCCCCCAGAGTGCATGAACCAGCTCACCGTCCACAACAAGGAGGTGCTGTACGAGCTCATTGAGAACCGAGGCCCCACCACGCCGCTCATCACCGTCTCCAATCACCAGTCCTGCATGGACGACCCTCATCTCTGGGGTACCCGGTTGGCAGGCTGGGCACAGGGAGGCCGGGAGCAGGCCTCCCTCACTGGCCTCTTCACGTAGCCCTGGCACACTTGTTTCGGGGGTGTCTTTCCTGCGGTGAAGCCCCATCGGGGTCCTCTCAGGGAATGGGATGAGGGAATGAGGGGGTGAGGAAACCGCTGCAGGGCCAGCTCTGGCAGCTCCCTGGCGCTTTCTCTGGTGCATCATGTCTGCCTGACCCTGGCCTCTGAACTGCCGAAGCTCCCAGCTCCCGGGAAGCCTTCCGAGGGCCGCAGGTGTCCTGTCCAGGGAGCCCTGGGCTCGGGGCTGGGAAGCCCTGTCCTGCTTCCAGGTTGGCCCAGCCTGGGTTCACACCCTTCAGCCAGGCCTCATTGGGAGCCCCTCGCTCCCCGGGTTCCCATGCTGCCGACCGCAGGGGCTTGCTTGGGTGGGGGCAGTGCCAGGGTCGCCACCACACGCGGGGAGCCGCCTGGTGATGTGGGAGCCTTTCGGCGTTGGCCCTGGCCGCTGGGTGGAGAAGGCCCGCGGCGGCCACACTGCACAGAGCGCCCCGCAGCAGGGAGTGCCGCGCTGGAGTCCAGGAGGCCCAGCGCAGCGTGGAAGATACTGGGGGAGCAGACCAGATGGGTGTGGTGGTGCACGACATCTGGGGGTGGAGAGAACTGGAGGGTGCAAGCCAAGGGTCTGGAAGGCAGGCTGTGGGGTTAGCGCACGGTCCTTGCCCCACAGCCCAGATGGGTGACAGGAGAGCTGCTCCTTAAGGACAGGGGCGTTGGGGTGTGAAGCTTTTCCTCTCCTCCTCCAGGGATCCTGAAATTCCGCCACATCTGGAACCTGAAGTTGATGCGTTGGTGAGGAGGAACGGGCCCCTCACAGTGGGCCTGGCAGGCCTCACCCGGCTTTGCCAGGATTGGCCCTCCTCCTGTTCGGCCCAGCAGTCCAGGAAGGGCAGGGGTGGGCCCCACAGGCCCCCCTTGGCCTCCAGTCCACACTGTCCGTGGGGTCAGGCCTCATGCTGGGGGCCAGGGGTGACGGTGTCTGTCCTGCTCCAGGACCCCCGCAGCCGCCGACATCTGCTTCACCAAGGAGCTGCACTCCCGCTTCTTCAGCCTGGGCAAGTGTGTGCCGGTGTGTAGAGGTGAGCTCCTTGGGAGGGACTTCCGGGGGCTTCTCCAGCCTCCCTTGGGCCGGGAGGCTGGTGGCCGGTGTCGGGGGCTTGCTGCGTGGAGAGGCAGTGTGCTTGCTTCTCTGCGAGCGCCCAGGGCCCAGCCACGGAAGCCCTGCAGGCGTGGCCCACAGTGCCTCTCCGGGAGGCGTGGCAGTAGCAGCCTGTGCTGCGGGCCTGACGAAGCCCACGGGCTGGTGGGCTGAGCAGTCTAGTGGGCGTGACCACGGCACTCCCCGGAGGCCTTGGGAGGTGCAAGCCACTTTGGTCTCCTTTTTCCAGACCAGGGCCCAGGTCACAGGGCAAGGGGCGGCCAAGCCAGGATTCAGATTCAGGCGATTCTTTCCTTTGAGGAAGCGGACTTTTCCCAGGCAGCATGTGACAGGAAAGGTGCTTGACACTGAGGCACATGCCAGGCACCAGAGAGTTAGGAGAGAAAATCCAGTGAGAAGTGTAGGTTGTGACTGAACATGGAGGTTCTGGAATAATCGGGATAAGGACTGGGGTGTGCTCTCCTGCAGACCCCAGGTAGCGCCATACTGTGCCCCATCTGGGCCACAGGGGAGCCGCCAGGTTGGCTGCGGCAGGCCAGGGCCACGCAGGGGCTGTTGCCGTGGCAACAGAGGGGGACAGCTGGGCCTCTGGGGCTCAAGCCGGAGGAGGGGCTGTTTAGAGCTAGGTATTGGACGCAGCGTCGAGGGCACCAGCTGAGATGTCGGGTATGGGGGCAGCAAGGGAGCGAGACCTCAGGAGAACAGACACAGGGGATGCCGGGCGCCAGGAGGGGCACACGAGGGCAAGTCAGGTGGGCTTGGCAGGGGAGAAGGCAGCAAGGTGAGACATGGACCCGCTTTGTGGGTGCTGCACCTGAGCAGCCCGCTGCCTGTGGAGGGGCTTCCGTGGGCGGGGGCTGCATGGGGCCAGAATGTGAAGGAGGGGAGGGGTCAAGATACGAGGGGACTCGGCGTAAAGGAAGTCAGAGGTGAGGCGCCCCGGGCTAGCCCCTCAGGCACAGAGGGTAGAGGCCACTGAGGAGCGCAGCCCTTGGCACCTTGGGAGACTCCGGGGGCCCGAAGCAAGCCCTGGAGTGGGGTGGCTACACCTGCCCCCCACTGGCCTCAGTCTGTCCACCTTCGCTGAGGCCTGTGGCACAATCCAGAGAGCAGCTGTGATCCTGGCCACATTTGATGGGCCGCAGCGACCTCGTGGCAGAGGCTCCTCTGTCCCAAAGAGCTTCTCCCCTGACGCAGGCCTGGTAACATGACGTGGCGCGTCACAGTGACTTTGTCCAGCTGTGCGACGGAGCGGAAGTCACATGTGCAAAGGCAGAGCCATGTGGCGCCTGGCCCCACGCCAGCGCGAGAGTTCCGGTGAGCGGCTGCGGGGCTGCACCTGCCCCCACGGGACGCCGCGTGACGAACTGCGAGGGTGACCGCCCCGAGGGCGCTGCTGGCCCAGGCCCAGGCCCCATTTGGATCTGAACAAGAGTGGCCTGGCGGAGAGCAGGGTCAGAGTCCATGGCTCAGAGTGTGGCCCTAGTCCCGGCGCCTGCATGGCTGTCTCCCGTTGGCGACACGGCCCTCTGCTCCCCGGTCTGGGAGACAGGGGGACTCTGTGCTGCGCTGCCCCCTGCCCCCTGCCCCCTGGGTTGCCATCCACCGTGGCCTGTGTGCGCATGGTCTCCAGCGCCGCCGGGTGGGAGCTGGCGCACGGGTGACGCCACAGCTCTTGGTGCTGACCACCAGGCCAGTCTCCAGCGTTGCGGTCTGGGGGCACCTCCAAGGCGAGCGCTGCTCGCCCAGGGCTGCTCCCCTGGTTGGCAGTGATGAACGTCCTCCCTCTCGCGAAAGGCCTCTAAAGGGAGGCTCAGTGTGAGGGAGAGCCTGCTGAGGAAGGGGCCACAGGAGGAGGGATGGCCGGGTGCGGGCTCGGGAGGAGTGGTGGTGGGAGCCGGCCTGGCGAGGCCCACTCTGGGGTCCGGGGGGGCTGGAAGTCAGGTGGAGGTTTGCTCCAGCAGTGGGGGCCGAGGGGGTGCTCACCCCCAGGAGAAAGCCAGGGCTCCCAGAGCCTGCCTGGGAGGGAGGGCTCCGCCAGTAACCACACTGGCGCTCAGAGGTCAGCAGAGGAGTCGCCATGGTCTAGGTCTCTGCCCGACACAGCCGGGTGCTGCTGGCGAAGGGCAGGGGGCTCTTGCAGAAGGCAGCAGTCAGGACGGCACAGTCTGGGCCAAGCAGACGGATCCCAGCCGGAGCGAGGGCTTTGGGGGGGGCAGCACGGTGTGGAATGACGGTGGCCCCGAGCTGCCCCTTCATCCCTGGCTGGGGGCCCTGGGAGGACTGGGCCTGATGGGGAGAGCCTTTTGCTTGGCAGGAGATGGCGTCTACCAGAGGGGCATGGACTTCATCCTGGAGAAGCTCAACCATGGGGATTGGGTGCACATCTTCCCAGAAGGTCAGTGGGGTGCCACGCCCAAGTCCCTGCGGGGTCGGGCAGCCGACTCGAGTCTGCCCTCTCTCGCCGCAGGGAAGGTGAACATGAGCTCGGAGTTCCTGCGCTTCAAGTGGGGTAAGGGCGCCGCCTCCTTCCCGCCTGGCCGCTGGCACCGGACTGCCCTCTTGGGCCAGGCCAGACCGTGGCCGTGGGAGCGGTCGCAGCAGGTGGGCTGCCACGACGTCATCTCTGCCTCTCCTTCCCTGGGGCAGGGGTTGGGCGCCTGGTCGCCGAGTGCCGTCTTGACCCTGTCATCCTGCCCCTGTGGCACGTCGGTGAGCCCCTCCCGGTCCGGACTGGCTGGGGGCGGGAAGCGGGCGAGGGGCTGCCCTGCTGGTGCTGGGGGGCTGCCGGGCTTCACCCACGTCTGCCTCTGGCCTTCTGTGTGCTGCCACAGGAATGAACGACGTCCTGCCCAACAACCCGCCCTACTTCCCCCGCTTTGGCCAGGTGGGTAGGGGCCGCTGACCTTCGTGTGTCCGTCTGTCCGCCACCGGCCCTGGTCTTACTCGGCAGTCCTGAGGCCACATGCAGAGGAGTTGAGCTTGAGGCTGCAGCAGGGGGGCCGCGTGGCACATAGAGAGGGGCTTCCTGGCCCTGACACGGGGTAGAAGGGCAGCAGAGGCACTGGGCGGGGGCGGGTGGGCCTGGAGGCTGGGGCAGGAGAGGACGTCTAGACCATGGCTTCCGGGAGAGCTGGCCCCGCCGCCTCACCTTAAAGAGGGAGAGTGGCCCCCAGGGACCCTGCCGCAGTCTGGGGAAGGACTTGGCCTCTGGCTCCCTGGCACGCTCGGGCTGGAGAAATAGGCACCCCCCACTCCTGTGCCCTGCCACGGCCGCCTTCCCGCAGAAAATCACCGTGCTCATCGGGAAGCCCTTCAGTGCCCTGCCAGTGCTGGAGCGGCTCCGGGCGGAGAACAAGTCCACTGTGAGTGCCCTGTCCCCAGCCCCTTGGGCCCCCTGGGACCCCAGGTGAAGCCCCCTGAGGACGCAGGCCAGCCCTGGCCCTTCCCTCAGGTGGAGACGCGCAAAGCCCTGACCGACTTCATCCAGGAGGAGTTCCAGCGCCTCAAGACCCAGGCGGAGCAGCTGCACAGCCACCTGCAGTCCCGGAGCTAGGCGCGCCCTCCCGCACAGCCGCCACCCTCAGAGCCGGGCTGTGCACAGACTGGTGCTTGGCACTCGACTGCACGTGTGGAATTTTGTTGGTCGCCCGTACCGGTGCCCTCGCCTGGCGGTGGGCACTCCCATGCCCCACAGTTCTGCAGGAGTGACCTCAGCGGCTCCTCTCCCGCAGGCCAGGACGAGGAAGAGACTTAGGCAGAGCGTCCTCCCTGCCTGCCTTCAGCTGCTCTCTCCTGGGGGCTGGAATCTGGAGGGGAGAGGAAGGAGGCGGGAGCCCTGTCGAGCTTCGGGCAGGGGTCCGAGGCCCCTTGGCCTGGCTTCCATCTGTCCCCCTGCCCAGGAGCCGCTCACCACCTCAGGGATGGCTATCAGCCACGTCTTCCTTCTGCCTACACTGGCCATGTTTGGGGGCGCCTCAAACATGGGTTCTCGTCCTGGTCTGTGGACAAAAAAAGCCCACTTTTGCCAAAAGTCCAGCCCAACTGAACAGAGCCTGCAGGGAGGGCCCGGGACCCTAAGCCTTGGCTGTGGGCCCCCATTCGGGGACCCACTGACTGGTGCATTCTGTCTACCTCCCTGGCATTACTCCCACCCCCGGGACCTGAGTTTGCCTGTTTTGTAAACAATAAAGCATCTGTGTTGTGCTGTTTTACCTCTGACCTGTCTTTAAAAAAGATTTACTTATTTATGCATATAAGAGCTGGGGTGCAGGCCAGAGGTGTGGGGGGATGAGGATCCCAGAGACAGTGGGGAGCAGAACAGGTGGATCCATGAAACCCACTGCTGAAGGGAGCAGCGGGGAGACGGGGGTCTGCTGCGCCCGGGGGTCCCCCCCCGGCCGGGGATGGGACTCGTTCGCACTGCAGTGGCTGTGGACAGCCTCACAGGAAGCGTTTAAGGAGCTACATCTACGAAATTGCACCAAAAAGCCCCTCTGATCCAGGGCTTCCACAAGAGCCTGCATCTTGAAAAACAGTCACCTGGTGGCCAAGCAGCCTGGGAGTGGCGCTCTCTACACTCTCCTTCCAGCCTGTATCTCCCCCTTTGCGACAGCTATCACCCTGTATTGTTACCCTCTGTCCTCCGGCTCCTTCAGACCAGAAGAAAACTTGGGTGGGGTTTCAGTCTGACTTGGGGAGCCCTGAGAGGCCCGCTCCAGGAGGCGGCTGCTATTCAGGAGTGAGTAAAGGCAGCTGCAGGTAGGAAACAATGGCCAGCAAGACCATACTTGGAGAAAGCCCTTGCCTTTTGCCTTGACGTTACTTCGTTTCTTGCAATGATTTATTTTTGCATAAAAGAATTGGGGTGCAGGCCAGAGGTGCAGGGGGGTGAGAGGACTCCCCAGCAGAGAGTGGCAGCAGAACAAGTGGATCCACTGAGATCCACTTGAGGGGAGCAGCTGGGAGACAGGAGAGGTCTGCTGCGCCCTGGGGTCACTCCCTGGCTGGGGAAGGAAGTCAGATTATGGTAGTAACAGCCTGAGACTCAGCCCCTAGACCACCAAAGAGGCTCCCGAATGTTTATTTTTTAAAGTTTTATTTATGCATCCAGAACTGGGGTACAGGGCGGAGGGGCAGGGGCGGTGAGAAGATTCACCGGAGACAGTGGGCAGCAGAACAGGCCGACGAATGAAGTCCACTGCTGAGGGGAGCAGGGGGCAGGTCCCGAGAGGTCTGCTGCGCCCTGGGGGTCAGCTCCGGGTCAAACTCAAGCTAAAG